TATTAAATATTAGTAATGAGTATTATTATTTTTATTAAATATTAATTATTATTATTTATTATTATTTTTAAGCAGAGTAAAGCAGAGCAGATTTCAGCAGAGTAGAGCAGAGCAGGGCAGGGCAGGGCAGAGCAGAGTAGCTCAAAAGAACATGGCTTTATTCTAATTAAAAAAAAGGATGATAGTTTTTTTTTTCCTTAAAGATAATAGTTATATTTTTTTTAAAAGGATGGTAGTTTTTTTTTTAAAAAATATATATAAATAAATAAATAAAAGTTGAGATTTGGGCAAGTAAAATTTGTCACCCAAAACCCCCTTTCACTTTATATATTACTATAGATTAATTGCTATGTGTTAGTAATTTATGGAGTATGTAATAAAAAAAATAATACTCCGTATTAATTTTGTATAAGATTTGTTTCCTTAATTAATAGACTAAAAAAAACGCCAAAAGATAACATATGTCGTTGTCGGTGTGTGTTTTAAGCTCTATTCACTTCATCTTATTTTTGATGAACTTAAATTGTTTTTATTGAATTAAAATTACTGTTGAAATGAAATTATTTAAATTAATGCTTTATTATAATTCTTCTTTAAAGATACCAATTTGTTACGGAACTGAAATCTTTATTACTGAATTGAGCTTATTTTACTTAACTGAAACTATATATACTAAACATTATTTTTATAAGGTAAATTAAACACGGCTATAGTATATACCGACTTACCGAATAGTTATTTACAATAGATGGCAAGATGACAAGATATTACTAGATTTCTAGAATTACTTTAATGAGGAGTAGGTTAGGGATGGCGAGAATTTTTCGTTGTGCTAGTGACATGTTGCGATTGAATTTTCTTTTTTTTTTTTTTAATTTTTTTTTGTTTTTTGAGGAAGGCGGTTGAACTTCTAGTGTCTTGTGTCTTAGGTTTTTTTATTTTTTTAATGCAAAGTCTTGTGTCTTACCAGTAGTTAATACGAGTACATAAATAAATGTACTCTCTATATAATGTTCTCTAAGTCTTGTGTCTTAGTTAATACGAGTGCATAAGTAAATGTATACTCTATATAATGTTCTCTATGGTCATATTTTGACTTTGGTGGTCAACATTTAAAAATTTTGATCATAAAAATATAATTTTTATTTTTTAAAATATACTTGTAATACTTCCTTCATTTTTTAAAATATTGTATCATAGGGGTTTGACATGATTTTTTTTATAGTAGAAAAAAGGAAAATAAATAAAAGTAAAAATACAAAATTGTTCATGTGTTTGCAATATAATCGAAAGAATCAAGTGTTAAATGTAAAGATATATTGAATAAGGTTAGGTCCCGTGTTATGCACGGTAATTTTCACTATTTATTGTTAATTTAACACTATATTTAATCATAATAATTATCTAATTGCAAAAATAAGATGAAAAATTTGTAATTACAAAAATAAAAATAAAATTATGTAAGGGAATATATTACATGCACGACTAATAAAAACAATTATGGATTATGTCACAAAGTTATATGTAAGAAAATATTATAGTATTAAATAAAAGAATACGAGTAATATTTTTGTTGAATGTGTATAAATAGAACCAAATAAAAAAGGAATATTATTGCATATTATTAAATATTCTGTAAGAAGCTTTGGAAAAAACAAAAAAAAAAATTAAATAAAAAAATTGGCGAATTTTTTTTTAAAAGAAGATGACATATGTCATTCTTGGTTTTACCTTTATTATAATCATCATCAATCAATAATAACATAATAGTAAAACAGACATCAGGAATGACACGAGTCACTTCCTGGTGCTGTATTTTCCCTCCAAAACTGTTTTCTCCTTTTTTTTATTGTAAATATACTTTATGTAAATTCATCAAATCATTTGATTGTGATTCACTTTTCTAATAAAAATATATATTTGTGATTCACATATTTTCCATATCTTTTATTATATATTATTATTATTATTATTATTATTATTATTATTATTATTATTATTATTATTATTATTATTATTATTATTATTCTATATCTATACTGTTCAATCTATAACGTAATATTAAAACAGACATTAGGAAGATATCGACTCTAGAAATAACACGTGTCACAATTTGGTACCGTTTTTTCCTCTAAATTTTTTTCCACGGTGACATCAACTACTTATTGTAAAAATATAAAAATATTCACCAAATCATTCACTTACTTAAACAAAATATATATATATATATATATATATATATATATATATATATATATATATATATATATATATATATATATATATATTTGTGATTCACATATTTTCCATAAAATACTATTCTACCGTCTATTACTTTGTATATATATGGAGTATATATTATTTCCTAATCCTTATGCAGTATTTTATTCCTTCAAATCTTCAATATAATAAATACGCAGTAATTTTGTAACAAAAATAAAAAAAATAAAAAATTTTATGCGTTTTAGAAATAATTGATTCATACTTGATTATTACTATTACTATTACTATTACTATTACTATTATTCCCTAAGCCTTCTTTTGTTATTCATATATTCGATCTCTATATAGAAATTTCAAAATTTTTTAATTTTTTATTAGGAAACGGCTTCCTAATAGCATAATTTTTTTTTTACAACATCAATCTTATTTGATTTTTTTTTTAATTTTTAGTTATTTATGCATATTGAAAGCACGACAAATTAAATATGTTTGCCACTATCCTAAATTGTATCAAATACACTGTAGTAATTATTTATGTTACAATCCATAGTGTTTAATATACAATTTTAAAATATTTAATTATTTAGTTAATAAAAAGAAAAACGATATCAATTTATCATTAAAATTTTAAACTTATTTGTCTAATTACTCTGTCGTCATTATATTTCATGTTTCATTTCATTATACAAAAAAAAAAAATATATGGTTATATATTTTGTCCACATGCATTATACAAAATATTTTGCTTTTTATTTTTTAAAATTTTTGTGTTGAATTATAAACAATAGTGAAATTAATTATCGTGCATGGCACGGGACCTAATCTAATTAATAATAATATATAGTTATAGTTATAGATTTATGTGTTAAAGTCAATTTAATTCAATATATATATATATATATATATATAATATATATATATATATATATATATATATATATATACATATATATATATATAACATGAAGATTTTTTTTTATATTTCGTACTATAAATTAAATCCATTTGATTGTAATATATCAGGAAAAAAAATCATTTTGTGCAAATAAATTAATATTAATAATAAGAATCTTTAATTTCTATTATACTCGTAATATATAAATTTAATATGTATAATTTATTGTCTAAATAAGTTGTTAATAAAAAAAGATATGTATAAAAAATAAAGTAAAAATATATTTAATTTTGAAAAATGGTTTTTGGAGGGAAAAAGCAACACTAGGAAGTGACGTGTGTCATTCCCGATGTCCGTTTTAGTATTATGTTATTGATTGATTGATTTGCATTATATTGTGGACATGGATATTTGTTTTCCTAAAATAGATATAGTGTAATGTTTGTGAAATTTCCTAAAAACAAGGGGTGCAATATTTTAAAACAGAGGAAGTATAAATATTACATCAAAACCATATCATGTGGGATGTTGTTGGTTTTGTCTTGAAATGAAATTTTCAATTTGTATGTGTAGTTAATTCATACAAGTATTTATTAGAGACCGTAAAATTCAAAGTGTATCTATAGAAAAGAACAAAGGAAAATTAATTGCTCCCTTCGTTTAACAACAACCTTTTCATTTGGAATCTTGACGGTGTTCATAAGATAAGAGAATCGTATATATTACTCTAAATAAATATAATGTTAGTTTTTATTTGATTCGTCTCAATGAGTAATTTATTAGTGTCCAATTATTATATATTTTACTAATATTGTATTTAAAGATATTTATGGTTAAAGTAATGCATTCACAGACGTGTAAGGTCAAAGTGGGAAGATTATTTTAAAATGAATCTAACAAAATCCAACGTGGTTATATTTTTCTTAATATATATATACTACGTAAATAAAAAAAGACGATCAAAAGAGTATGAATAATGTAAAATTTTCTTTCTCAAAAAAAATAATGTAAAATTTTCAAGTATTACAAATATAGATGAACTGAAAATTCTGATGTAGTCTTATGACTTTTGACTACCACATTTTTTAAAAATGGACGACTGGGAATCTTGGATTATTTGTTTTTTTTATTTTTATTTTTAATAAGTAATTTTAATTAAAAAAACTATTTTTTTAATTATTTTATATATATTTTTTATTTCCAGAATTTCGAAAATATTAAAAAATAATTCTGGAAGATAAAAATATATTTAAAATACTTAAAAAAAAATATTTTCTTTAATTAGAATTACTAATTTAAAATAAATCAAAAAACAAATAATCTCGACCGTCCATTTTAAAAATTGTGGTAGTCAAAAGTCATAAGACTACAGTGAAATCAAACAAATTGAAATATCAAATTCATATTAATCTCAAGTTACTTTCCTATTCCATGTCATCCCCACATGTCCACAACATCAATGGAAGAATATCTAAAGAAAAATTGAAGTTCTTGTATTAGAGATTCATTACAAGTGGTGGGAATAATAACATATTCCAAAAGATTCAAGCTATCCGCGCGCCTATCCGTTGAGGTTTATTCTTGCCAGATGATCAGCAACTGCAATGGGTAAGATGTTCTTTGTAAACTAACTGTTGTGACATATCATCATAGATCCCTGTTTAGGTAATCATGGTCGAAGACTCGAGTCGAGGCCATGCACTTCAATAATGTGAGACATCTTACATGAGGGTTCGTTCTTTTAGCATCATGCCCTTCGTCGATATCCTCAATGAAGCTTTCATAATCAAGAACTTGGTAATTGGACAACTCAAAATGAAATACAAACTTACAAAGCCTTTATTTTGCTTTTCTTATTGAAAACTTAAAGCATGAAATTTGATTGCCCAGGAAATCAAAAGCCGAGCAAGACATAACCAGCCAAGACTGGTATATATATTCATAGCTCGTACTACAATTTTATTCATCTGAAACCAATTACCAATACCATATAATTTGATGTACAAAAAATTGGAATATGTTCTTAACAAAAACCCTTTTATAAAATGCATGAATTGAATATTTTCAGCCATTATATTTAGTTATATACATAAGAGGTTTCTTTTAGGACAGCAGTACAGCACATGATTTTCTTTCCATGAAGATATACTTCGTATTTAACTTCCAGTTCCTGCAGTGTCTTGGGTGCCTGACATATCTATCAATTGTTTCCTGGATAGATTGATAATTGAATCCGCAATCACCCTAGCACTGGATTTCATATAACCACCTGAAACAAAGATGTGAACTAAATAAAGATCATAGTTGTAAGCTATGTCCCTTGGTAGAAACCTACATTGGGTTCAGGTCCTCCAGGGGGGGAGATGTTGCCCTCTTGAGCCAGGCCAACTGACTTGATGTAACTAAATTCCCGACCACAGGTGGTGTTGACAGTTGCGTATGTGTGCATGTGCAGGTGCAAGTGCAAGTGGCAAAGGGGATAACTTGTAACGGATTAAGTGATAGGGTCAATCACACCATCCACACACACAATTTCAGTTACATAGCGAGGCAAAAGAAATAAACTTTTTGAAGAACAGATTTTGGTTCATGTTCATGACATGAAATTTCAGTTATTCCTTCATACAGTAATATAATACATATCCTGGACCTAGGATTACCAAGGATATATGCAGGTCTAAACAAATTGAAAAAACTTTGGAGTTGATGGTTCGATCAGGTAAAGACAGAATAGAACCTGATGTAAGCATTAGTATAGGAGTGCCTTTCTCACGAGCAAAAGCAAACACCTTCTCATCTCTCTTGATTATACCTTCGGGACTGATCTGGAAACAAGAGATGGATTCCACAAGACTTAATAATTAACAACCTCAAACAAACCCAATAAATGTTCTGCAAAATATAATTTAAACACATTGAACTTGCCCCAATATAAGATGTTTACAACAAAATAAGTATATTGCAGAATTGATTGGAACAACAGTACACAAATCAACTGACATGCCAGGAATGCCAGGAATACTAGACATACACCCAGAAGAACCAAGCTGCAAATCCGATCCTTCACTGCGACTAATGCACAAACTACAAAATACTAGGTAGCTTGAGTAATTTGACAGAGTTACTGATAGATAATACATCAACCCTCTCAACTGACAGAAAATAAGAAACCCATACATTAATCTGTGTATAATTATCTAGCACCTAGAGTTGTTTGATTAGAGAGTTAAAATTAGAAAGGGGTATCTGTGGTAAGGAACAGTATTTAAAGTCCATCCTTAATACAAATATTAAGAAGCTAGGTTGGATAATTGTGGAAAGAGATGTTGACTCTAATTTTTGACATATGAACCTTGCACCGATGACTCAAATTCCTTTTGTGTATTGCATGTTCCACCCCAGCACACCATGATTCATCAGGTTAGCGTATTAAGTCCAAGTAAATAATGTTGATTGTATCTGTATACGTGGTTAGCATTTTTCTAGATTCTAACAGAAGATGTAGGGTTTAGCAAAATCCACTCTAAACAATCTAACAATATATCATCTCCAGTCGTCCAACATTTGCAGATAGAGACTTTTAGACAAGTTATTGTATAGAATGACCAACAACAACAAATGATCAGGTACAGAAAAAAGGTTCTCACCTTTAGACCTCCCAGTGGATCTCTATCCAGAATGTCGGTTCCAGCATTGTATACCACCAACTCAGGATCGAATTTTTGTTTAGCAACCTGTCACAGATTAATGTGCAAAACTTTAGGGATCAAGTTAGTACTCCACTACTCTAGCACATCCTTATGAGGATCACTAAATTAGATAGAATGGTAACAAACTTGAAATTTGCAAAATTTAATACATTAACATGTGGATTATCCTGCAAACATGTGCAACCCCTCAAATGAATCAGCTTAAACAGGCAGAAAAAAAAAAAGGAAAAAAAAGACATAGGTGTAGGCAGTAGATATTGGCATGGATGAGACGTTACATACCTCAAGTGCCTCATCCAATTTCTTCAGGTAAACATCTGTTGTGGTCCCACTCTGTAAAACAAACAAAAACAATCGAAGCTTTGTAACCGCAAGGATAGCTTATAACAAGAAGCTTTCTGCCTATTAAACTGATGGCTTACTGGAATTTCAATATTCTGATTGATGTAGCTCCTGGAAACTAAATCCTGATGCAAAATTCAGCAAAAACTTTCAGAAATAAATCATTTTCAAGTGAACAGAAAATATAGGCTGCTGATTTAATTTTAGCATGAACAAATTTAATCTTCATTTGCATGCCTCGGAGATAATTGCTGAAGCTAGGATTCAGCTGGTAGACACTAATGCACATGTGATCTAACCCATTTGCAAATAAGATGTCTAAAGACATTGGTGAACCACCCAAGAATCTTGATTTCTAATCCCCAGAAAGCACATCAATTTGAAACTACACTTTATTCAAAATACGAGTTTTGTTCATTATCCCAACTGCTCTCTCACCCAATTTCACCCTCTTCTCCCCTGATAAGTCTTATCATTTTGGTTAGAATCCCTGAACTTACTTGAACCGAACTTATATGATCATATTAGAGCTTATCTGCACGTATATTTAATTGTCAGCTGGACTTATTGGACCACATCTGTACTTTTACTGATATGAATTATTAGACCATATCTGAATCTTTAAGCCCTCAACGAAACTTATATCTTTGATAGACAAGATTTTTTTTGCAAAATTGCATATAGTGTCTTCAATCTTGAATCTTCCTCATATGGGAAAAATAAAAGTCATAATCCCTATTATCTTCTCTTGAATTCATTGTATACAGGGCTTGCAAGGGTCTGCCCAATTTTATCACCAATAATGCCTATATATGACAACCAAGGTTAAAACTATAAACAAGGTGGGATGGAAAACTACACAGTTTATTTTATTAAAAGAAAACCTTAAAATCTGGTACCAGCAGTGTAACTTACTAATGGATATACTTCAGAATTGTACATATCAAGTATGTATACTCTTTCTGCACATAAAAGAAAGTACTATGTATAAGAAATTATCTAAAAGTAATAAGTTAATAACATAATCAGGAAGACAAGAATCATACTATCTTTAGAAAAATCTACTTCGTGACCATTTCCTTGATGTGCATCAAGATCAATAATCATAACCCTGAAGAATGTTACAAAAGAGATTAAACTCGAAATAAGAAGTTTGAAGGTGTTATCAGCAAAAGTACTCATTTTTATAACGGCCAGTACCTTGAAATATTTAACTGAACAAAAGCAAAGTGAATGCACATAGAGATGTCAGCATAAGCACAAAATCCACCTCCCTCATCAGCAGAACAATGATGGAAACCTCCACCAACATTAATGGCCCATCCTCGTTCCTTTGCAAGCTTTGCAGCCAGAACAGATCCCCCTACCTACAAGCATGATTATAAAAGGTTCAACTTGATGATGGAGTAAAAAAAGAAAACTAATCGAAGTTATGGTTGTCATGCCTGTTTCCGGAATGGATAAAGAATTTTACGCTGTATGATACAGTTGGGCAACATTGCAACTGGTGGAACCTGTAAATAAAATGATAATGTAAAAGAAAGTTAAATTATACATAACCCCAGCCTTTGAAATAGAAATATACTCATTCAGGGCAGTAAACGCGACACAACCGCTAAACCATAAGTATTCCATTCAGCAATCTGCTTCCACAACAACATAAATGAAAATCATCTGGACATTGCATAACTACCTTGGGTTCTCATAGTAAAATACATGCTGCCTAACTAAAACAATATCCTATTTCCTTAAAAAATAGAAATGACTTTGTAACTCGCTTAGAGGAAAAAAGGATTAAACTATCAGCAAATCATCTACAAAAGAACAAAAACACCCATCCAGCTCTATAAATCGGCTTCTATATCATACCAAGACATTAGTATTAAAATTACCATGATGTACAATTGTATATGAAGATAAACAATCAAAAAAAGCAAAGTTCTTGCCTCTTGGGAAAAAAATAAATTCAATATGGCTCTTTCTCCTAAATATCCTAATTTCCAAAATCCAATTAATGTGACTTATAAATATACCACTAGGATTTTAGCAACAGTTGAGCTGCTTTGAAGACTATCCAGGTACTTCTCTGGATGTACCTGTAAACACATTAAGTCCCCGATTAGAATTTATGCAAGAGGCAATGGACCAACAGCTGCCTGCTGGATCTAGACAATGAACAGGACAATGCAATATTTAGCAATGAAAGAAAAAGAGGAAGTAAAAGTTATAGAGAACAGCAGGGAAACAAGTTCAACCTACCACTAAGAGGTCCTCTTTCGAAGCTTCTTCGGGCTCAATGATACAACTTTTGTCCAGCACACCTTCTGAAGCAAGGAATTGACATATACGACCCCATTTTGAAGAATCAAACGGATGCCTATTTTTAATCAAATGAGAAGTAGTTATACAAATTTTTGTGAATCAGACTTATAAACTTGAATTTTCTTGTTATATAGAGATACATAAAAGTTATATAGCCCACGAATGATCAGCCAACTCATCGGTCAATAACAATCTCAACATGTGTCTTAATGAATAGAAAAACTTCAGAGATTTATGCATCCATCAACTAAAAGTGTTCTGGAGCATATATGAGCATAGAAGAATCCTAACATGATATCGAGGGCGAATCTACAAAAATTAAGCCAGTGCCCCAAGGACAGTTCAGCAAGTGTAATTTATAACTAAATTGATATTTCATGTTTATAACTAAATGGATGTACCTCAACTTGTATAGTATTTGAGACTGAAAGCACCGCAATTTCAAAAGCATACAATAGATTTTAGTTATAAATTTGCAAACTCAAGCAAAATAATCACTAATAACTATAAGTTCACATATGAACAAATAATTAACCCAAAAATTTTAAAAAAAAAATTGAACCAAATATTAGTAAAGCACTTACCATTTTTCCATTCCAAGGAATGAAATATTATAATCAGATGAATAAATCAGCGGAACCTATAAAATAAAAAATAAAAATAAAAAAAAAAAAACAAAAAACAAAAGCCATAAAAATCAAATTCAGAATTAAAATCAAATCTATTCAAAAAAAAAAAAAAAAGAATTATAATCAAATTATTATAAATTCAACTTCAAATTCAAAGTAATTGATCATTAAAACAAGAGGTTTACAAAAATAAATTAAGATACCTTGGAAGGAGGAACATCGAAGTAGAGCTTACTAGAGAGAATTCGACTTCGGCGAAGATGTTCAGGTGAAGAAGAAGCTGCCATTTTTGTACGGAAGAGGGAGAAAATTGAGGAGAGAGAAAGTGAAAGTTGCAGTGTCTGAGCCACTCTGTTATGGTGGACGACTACATGTTACCGCCGGTAAACGAGAATTTATCAGCAACAGATATTTTAGTTGACAGTTGAGTTTACACGTGTTGTACCAAAACTAACTTATTATTTAATGTAGGTTGCCCTTCAGCACAATATTAGAAATTTGTAATTAATGCTGATAGTAATAGACGGCGATAGATGTCAACGAGCCCAGTATTAACTTGTTCAATCTAGGATTATAAATTTATAAGAAATACACAAGCTCGAGGTGAGCTAATCTTAGGAGTTGTTTGGTTGAATTTAAAAAACATAGAAAATTCTATTTCCTAGGAAATGGATATAGTATGTGCTGCTTTATTGACACAAATTTATCGAAATGGAGAAAATGGAAATTCCAAGAGATGTTTCAATTCCTATGAAACATGGAAATTCACTTACCAAACCCCCTTGGTAAGTCATAATTCCCATAATTATTGTGGGGCTCACTTGCATAATTATCACTAATAATTTAATCTCTGTCTTTCTTTCTCCATATATGTTAACTTAAATAAAAAATTATTAAGTTAACTAATACTCCCTCCGTCCACTTTTGTTTGTCACTTTTGTTATATTGGGTGCCCTTAAATGTTTGTCACATTTTATATTTTCATAATTATTAAGATACATAAAAAGACTTTTATACCCTCATCTTTTTGTTCTTATTAAGTCCTCTTCCTATTTTACCCTAACATTTGTCATAAAAATTGTGCCAACTTTTGACTAATTTATTACTTTACACTCTTGAATCTCTCAATTTCTCTTTCCTATGTATTTTAATTACTTTTTTTAATTGAAAATGTTTCTTTTGACATTTGATGATTTGAACTATATCAGTGTTAGAATAACAACAGGTTAAATTTCTGACGTAACATAATACCTTGCACTTCGGATACAACAATATGGTAAATCACACTATTTTCTTTCCAGATTATTTACAAAAGGGGTCTCTTTTGCTATAACACACTATTTTCTTTCCGTAATTTGTTCACAGAGGTTCATATTTGACCTCCAGTTCCTGCAGTGCCTTGGGTGCCTGACATATCTATCAATTGTTTCCGGGAGAGATTGATAATCGAATCTGCAATCACTCTAGCACTTGACTTCATATAACCACCTGAAACAAAAGATGGGATACCAATTAAAATTCATGATTGTGAGCGATGTACCATAATAGATCTAAATTTGGGTTCAGGGGAACAAAGATCCCCTCTTGAGCCAGGCCAACTGACATGTTGTAGTTAAAATCCCAGCCAGAGGTGGTGTGGGGTGGATGTGCGTGTGGGAAAGGGGAAAACTTCTTGTTAGAATTAGATCAAGTATACCACCCATGCATAATCAAGTCACATAGAGAAGCAGAAGAAAATCAGCTTATGGAATCAACTTTGTTAAAGGTCCATGATATGAAATTGCAGTTATTCAGCATAGTTCGATAGCTATATTTGTGAAACACAACAATAGACCTCAAATACCAATGTTTGCATTTTATTGCAGAGAGCACTGCAAAATTTTAAATGAATTGATGGCTCAGGTAATGACAGAATAGAACCTGATGTAAGCATTAATATAGAAATGCCCTTCTCACGAGCGAATGCAAACACCTTCTCATCTCTCTTGATTACACCATCAGGGCTAATCTGGAAACAAGAAACTGAATTCCATGAGTAAGCTTTATCAACTTACAACATCAACTTCAACACTAAGAGCACGGCAAACACTAAATGCATTTGCGCCTAAATGCCCCAACATACGAGATATTTAATAAATCAACAGCCCAGTTCAGCATTTAAACCACCAATAAGTAAACTAAGAAGCCAGAAATAAATACCAAACATAAACCCAGAAAAACCAAGAGTAGCACGTCCACAGTAACTAATGTGCAAACTATCCCGTTGAAAAAGACACTTGGTCTTTAATCCTTTTCAAGCCCCCTTCACCTCATATACTCCATATATTGGATTAATTCTCTCTCATGATCATTGTGTTTTCAAAAAAAGCTGGCTGTTGCTAGTAGGATTTTCTATATTTAAAGTAGTTTATTTTTTTTTCAAGGAAAGATTTTAAGTAGTTATTATGGGGGAATAAACTCCAGTAGAGAATATGGATAAGACATTAAGAATAAAGAAATTTCATTGCTTATATCTTGTGAAGTTGTGAGTAATATGAGACAGTTATTGATTTATCATCCATAAATCATTCTACTGTCAGACAACAAGAAACTTACATTTATTGATATAATTAAGCTAGCATTCAGCTAAGACATCTGTAGCAAAGTCAATTACTTGGCCATCCTTGCTATACATATTTAAAATGCTGGATAAACAAGGAAACATATTATGACTCTCATTTCTGACAAAAAAAACCTTAAAGCAATGGACAATTTTCTTTTCTATTGAGCACAGTCCACCCCAGTATACCCAATTAGACTTGTAACAACAATCGGATATTCGAAGCCTTAATTTCGAAGAAGGGGACGGCCCCCAGTTAGAATCGTAGCGCATTATTATACACGGTATAGTAAATTTGGCTTGTCATTGCTAGCCCTACATGCAAGTGATGTAACCTTATTACCATTTTATGTCAAGGTATGCAATGTTAACTATATTTGCTAACATTCAGGATTAGATGTTCAAACTAAGCTGAATCCACTCAAAACAGTCTAAACCAGAATTCACCTCCAGCCATCCAATTTTAGGGACAAGCGCCAAGAACTGTAACAACAATGAAAGAGATAAAGGAAAAAGTTACATATACCAGGTGCAAAATAAGCAATTTACTAATTAAGTATACAAGTTGAGAACAGGAAAATATTTAAGTTTTTAATCTTACCCTTAAACAGCCCAGTGGATCTCCATCCAGGATGTCGGTTCCAGCATTGTATACCACCAACTCAGGATCAAAACTTCTTCTAGCAACCTGTCATAAATGTACAAAGGGATCAAGTTTGTACTCCACCACATCCTTGTAAAGATCTCTAACAAAGACTGAATGGCAAGAGGCTCTTGAAGTTTCTATATAAACATTTCTGTATATATTACATTGAACTATATAGATTGTTCTGCAAATATGTACAATTAAAAGAAAAAAAGACCAGAAAGGTAGCTCACACAGTAGATACTGGCAAATCTAAAATTTTGCATACCTCGAGTGCGTCATCCACTTTCTTCAAGTACACATCTGTTGTGGTCCCACTCTGTAAAACAAATGAAACAATTACTTATTCTGTTAACACAGAGACAGCTTCAAATGATCAAGCTTTCTGTCTTTTTAACTGATGGCTTACTGCAACTTCAACTTTCTGATCGTTAAACCTCCTGGCATTATAATCCTGCAGCATATATCATAGAAACATCATCACAAACCTAAGGAAATGGAGAATAGAAATGACTCAGGCAAGAAACACAATAAGGTACACTCCAGAATTCCTATATTTTCTCGATTCATTCATGTATTTGATTTTAGCATCAACAAAATAAACTTTCACTTGCATGCTTGAAAGAAAATTGCATAACCAAGGACTTAGCGTGTAGCCACTAAGCATTTGCAATCCAACCTGTTTGCTACAAATATGAAACCATCCAAGACGCTAAAGTCCTCAACAAGCACATCAATATAAATTTCAAATTATAAACACTATGGATATTGTTCATTATCCCAGCTCCTTTCTTCCGTATTCACCTCTCCCCCAGGCAAACCCTTTTCCATTTTGATTATGTTCTTTTATCTAAACACCCCTGAACTAAACTGACCCAAACTTACATGATCTTACCTCACCTGCACTTAATTCTAATTGCCAATTGAACTTATTAGTCCTCTTCCGAGCTTAGTTGACATGGAATTATTTTTTTTAAAAAGTTGAAAGATACAAGGCTGTTGTGTTCCTTGCAATGTCTATTGACTACACTGCGTACATATTGCCCAAGTACAAGTCACTAACTATTTTTGATGTGCCTTGTGTCTTTGTGTGCCAATGGGGCTTTTCAGAGTTGTCACTACAACAATTGTGGTGGGTATCTAGTCTAACTTCCATTGTTTCTTAAGGCACATTGAATACCCATTGAGAAGTGTTCTACAGGCAATGAACTAGTCATTCAGCGCATTTGCTATCTACCACTTTAATAGACAAGAGTTACATCAAACAGTTCACATGCAAAGTCTTGAAGGATCTTCCGCAAAGAAAAAAAGGCCATGGTTCCTTTAGGGCTTATCATTAGTTTATTACTTAATCCAATAAAGAGTCTTACTTTTACCCCCTTCTATAAGCAACAATGCCCAAGTATGATGATCAAAGTTCAAATTTCCAAACAAGGTTGGACAGAACTCAAAAGATTCAACTTCATAATTCTTAAAAGCGAAAAAATCCAAAAGTTCTGGTAGCAGCAGGGTAACTTACGCCAGGATATATTTCAGAATTGTACACATTAAGTATATATACTCTTTCTGCAGAGAAAGAAAATATAAGAATTTGCATTGAATTCTGAGCAATCTGACAATCAAGGAAGACAAGAAATCGTACTATCTTTAGCAAAATCTATTTCATGACCATTCCCTTGATGTGCATCAACATCAATAATCATAACCCTGCCAATTCCAAACCACCGGAAATTATAATTTAAAAATCGTGACAAAATAAATTCATATCAAGATGTTTGAAAATCCTATCACCAATACCTTGATACTTTTAACTGAACAAAAGCAAAGTGAATGCAGATGGAGATGTCAGCATAAGCACAAAAACCACCTCCCTTATCTGCAGAACAATGATGGAAACCTCCACCAACATTAATGGCCCATCCTCGTTCTTTTGCAAGCTTTGCAGCCAGAACAGATCCCCCTACCTACAAGCATGATTATAAATAATTAAACTTGATAATGGAGTATAAAAAAGAAAATTAATTATATCGTGATTATAATGCCTGTTTCCGAAATGGATATAGTGCTTTCCGCTGTACGATACAGTTGGGCAACATTGCAACTGGTGGAACCTGTAAATAAAATTATAGTGAAAAGAAATTTAGGCCATACATAGGTAACATAACTTCAGCTAAGTACATAGAACTAAATCACTTAGGCACTAAAAGGAACTAAACCCCAAAACCAAGGTAGTTCATTCAGCAATCTGCTTCCACAACAAAAAAAATAAATGATCACCATCAGCACTTTGTCTACCTTTCTTGCTTATTCATAGAAACATGCATACAACAATAATATCCTATGCTTAAGAAAAAAGGATAGTTTGAGTAGCTTGAGTAGAGATATAAGGAGTAAGTTTTCAGCAAGTCAGACAAAAGAACAAGAAATCCTTCCAGCAGCTTCTATAGCATACCAGGCAAAGAAAAACATCTTTCCATCAATTACCACAAGGTATGTAGAAACTACGGGCAATGGATTCATCGAAGAAAGGCAAAGGACATTAAAAAGCAATTGATAAAACAAGGGTCTCAGAACTAAGAAACAGCCTAGTCTGTTATTAATATGGATCTTTCTCCTAAAATCCATATAATGTGACACATATATTGATATACCTCCATAATTTTAGCAACAGTCAAACTGTTTTGAAGACTATCCAGGTATTTCTCTGGATGCACCTGCAAACACACGAAGTCCCCTATAAAAAAATTAAGCAAGACGCAATGGACCAACAACTGCTAGATAGAGAAAGATGAGAGGGAAACTCCCATTCTTGATATTGACATTGCAAAATTGAGATGAAAATCAAGAGTCAAGAATGGAAGTTTCATCTCTTGGTAGGTCGATATTCAACCAATATAAGAAGAAATGGAAATCCATTCTTGATATTTATATTGCAGGTGATGAGAGAAAGAGAGAGAGAATAACGAGTGCCAATTACCACTAACAGGTCCTCTTTAGAAGCTTCTTCAGGCTCAATGATACATTTTTTGTCCAGTACACCTTCTGAGGCAAGGAACTGGCATATGCGTCCCCATTTTGAAGAATCAAACGGATGCCTATTGTTTATCAAATGATAAGTAATTACAGAGATGTACATCAGACTTATAAGGCATTGACTTTGACAATTGATCAGACAATCTAGAATCCAGAACAGCTTCAACATTTGTCTTCATGAATAGAAAATATTTCAGAGGGATTCATGCATCCATCATTTTAAAGTGTTCTGGACCTCTGGATAATCTAGCACTAGTATTAATAACTGCAGCTAAGCTTATTTGCATTCATTCATAAACATAGTAAACACTTAACATTTTTTCATAATAAAACTGTAATTTTTTACTATAGTTCTTTGACAATTTTTTCTACTCGAATTCAGTTCACTATGGAGTAACACAGATGTGTAAATTATCATCATTATGACTTTATCACCATTTATTACCGCCTACCAAACCGCCTCTAACTAAATTGTGATAGTTGAGAATTAAGTGTTCGGCAAAATGTAGCTGTAGAGGTAGCTGTTAGTTGTGATAGTAGCTGTTAGCGGTAGGTGTAGCTATTGAACTAGCTATTAGCTGTGAAATTCTAAAAATATAGAAGAAAAATCACAATAGTTACCTAGCTTTTTACAAAAGCTAATAATATGAACTTTTCACAAAAGCTATTCCAACCACTAAACTCTACTCCCACCACTATATTGACAAACACTAATATTTTTTACTAAATAATGGTTTGAATAAGTCAAACCACTAAAAGCTACTCAAAAACTACTGTTGCCGAACACGAAAGCTTTTACCGAACTCGAAATAATAACAAAATCAGCCAGCAATCATTCTATCGATCATTGTTTAAAACCTAAAACACACAACACATTTTAAACTCAAACCAAAACCATCAAATAATAACAATATGTTTATCAATTTATGGTAATTCAAAATATTTTCAAAAGAGAAGCACTTACAATTTTTCAATTCCAAAGAAAGCAATATTATAAGCCGATGAATAAATCACTGGCACCTAAAATCCAAATTAAAAAAAAAAATGTAATCAAAATCAAAATTCACATTCAAAAATATTAACATGAAAATTGTAATTAAAATTCAAAATAATACGTAGCAATTAAAATTACCTTAGAAAGAGGCACATCGAAGTAGAGCTTACTAGAAAGAATTCGAGTTCGGCGAAGACTTTCAGGTGATGAAGAAGTTGCCATTTCTGTACAGAATAGAGAGAAAATGGATGTTGCCACAATATAATGGTGAACGACTTTCTTCAACCGCCGGCAAACGGAGAATTTATCAGCAATCCATTTTTTTTTATTTTTCGGTTTTTATTTAAATTTGACGGTTGAGTTTACACGTGTATATGGGAGGAAATTGATTCTGGCACACCCTTATATGAGAAGAGAATAGAATATTGTGCTTTCACGTAGAGGTGTGCCATAATCAATTTTAGTGTGCCAAAATCAATTTCCGTGTATATTTTCTGAACTTTTAAGCAAGAGATTGGGCCAAGAAAACGAGAGATGCTTTACATAAACTTGGTTTATGTGGGGTAGATGTAAACTTTCAATGAGAAGTTGATATGTCATTGCTAGCAAAAGAAAAGAGGGGGATAATTGATTAATTGGGAGGGAAAATTATTTGAGTTTAGGCGTCTAAATGCAAAGTTGTGGGAGAAAAAGCTAAGGCGTCAAACTACATTTAATGCATACTATTGTGTTACTAAATAATTATATTATGATACTAATAAATAGAATTTGTTATTATAAATAATAATGTCCTCATTAGAGACTCAGAGTCATTATTGGAGAGAGAGGTTTTTTACAAAATCGAATAACATATCATTTGATAATGTTTCTTAAACTACAAATCAAAAAATCATTATAAAAACACCAATGAAATTCTTTTTTGATGCTCTTTTTAAAGATAGACATCCATAGACAAAATATTTCGTTTTGTAATTTTTTTTTTTACATCTTCGTTAGCATTACTAGTATGATCTCATTCCTTAATATTAATATTAGATAATTGATTAATACGTAATATTAAACACTTAAATTAATCTTGTAATACACAAATATTGACTCTCAAATTATTGTTGTAATACAAATACTGACTCTCAAATCCATATTTACAAAATAAGGAGTAACTCTTAAAATAGTATTTCTTGCTTTAACCACACAAAACTAACGATAAAACTTACATTGGACGATTTAAATCACGTAGCGAAGGGGTACAATCAAATAGTGGAGTGTTAATAATCAATAACATTTGTAATTCAAAAAATAGTTATCTATAACTAATAAATAACCATTTTGACAAAAAAAAAAAAAAAAAAAAAAAAAAAAAAAAAAAAAACTTATACAAATGAAGTAATTTATAACATCTTTAAAATAAAAAATAAAATGTTCGAAACTTTCTTTACTTGCAAGGAGATTTTTAAGTAATCTTCATTAACAAAGTAATGACTATTAAGTGGAATACTCAAATTGGAATGCTAAAATCAAGTTGTAAAGGGATAAAATAAAATAGTAAAGGGTTAAAAATAAAACCAACTAAAATCCAAAAAATAGTTATTGATTAATATATATACCATTTTGTTAAAACAAAAAATATATAAATGAAGTACAAATTATCGGTTACTAATAATACCATTTAGTGAAAAATTAAAAACATACAAATGAAGTAAAAGTTTTTTAACAAATTTATAACAAAACTAATGACCATACTTGAGTTAAGGGCTAAAATGAAGTAGTGAAGGGTAAAAATTTATTAGTGGATGGTTAAAAAAAACATATCATTTGGAATACAAAAAATAGTTATAAGATACTAATAAATATATCATTTTAAGATATATATATATATTAACATATTAATATATTTTTAAATTTTTAAATTTTTTTAAAATATATTAATAATAAAACTTAAAATTTTGAATCTTTGTTTATTCTTGTAAGGAGATTTCTAACTACTCTTCGTTTTAATAAGGAGATTATTAGTAACTATATTCAATTAATCATTCATCCATTATTGTTTGCAATACTAATATGATCTTATTTCTTACTATTAGATAATCGATTACTCCAAAGCACAAAAATTATTAAACTTGTAGTATACACACATACTAAATTACTAACTCTGGATCGATTGTTATTTTTAAAAATAAAATGATACTCCTTTATAATAATACAACTGCTAAATATCGATCAATTCTTTTACCAGAAAGTGAATATACGCTCCTTAATATTAATATTAAATAGTAATTGATTATTAATAGGCATAACAATAATATAATATTGTAATATACAAATACTAACACTCGATCAATTGTTTTACCAAAAAGTGAGATTATGCAAAAATAATCATTTCAAATAAAGTTATAATTATTGAAATACTTAATGTTTGCTTGAAACAACACCTAATACTAATGATAGCACTTGAGTTGATGGACTATAATAAAATAGTGAAGGGTTAAAATAAAATAAATATGGAGTACAAATAATAGTTATAGGTTACTAATAAATATATCATTTTGTCAAAAAAAGATTTGAAATGCAAAATAAGTAAAAGTTATAAACAATTTAATAATAAAACTTAAAATTTTGGAAATTGTAAGGAAATTTTCGAAACTTATTTAAAAATGCAAAGTAAGTAAGAGTTTTAAAACATATCAATATTAAAATTGCACATTATTCACCATGTTAACATTATGATACTTTATATTTGTATAGTATACACGACCATATTTAAAAAATATAATATAAGTTCTGAATACTATTTAGATAATTGTTGTTACTGTAATATAGTTCTTGAATACTATTTAAATAATTGTTGTTACTAATTATATTACAAACTCACAATAGTTACAACCCATTTTATTTTTAAGACTTGGCTTTTTTTTCCCTTTCTTTTAATCACAATTATTTTAATTATCATTTAATTGACTCAAAACGTTTCTTGGATTGGAAAGCTGGATGTTTGGTTCTAAAAGTGAATATTAATTTCTTATTAATCTGTCACCGAGATAATTCAAGGAGTCTAATGTGTTTCCATTGTGAATAATACAGTGCCCAACTTCTGTTACTAATCAATAATCTAACTTGAAGAAATTTTATACTTTGATGTTAAAATTTGGGAAAACTAAAGAACATTGGAAATAACGATATTTCCATTCACATGATACAATACAATTCGATTAAAATGGGATGAAAATACAACAGAATTTGTCTTCAAACCAATTTAATCATCTGAAAATCAATAAAATGATCGAAGCTAATATATGAATAATCTGGAAAAAAAATTTACATTCTTTTTTTTCCCCAGTTTTGAACATAAGATTCATACAAATAAAAATAAATAAATAAATTCACAAAACAAATTTGAAACAATAAGGATAAAGAACAAATAATTAAAAAAAATTGTACAACGAAACATTATACATTCATATCAATTCCTGAAAAAAGAAACAAATTTCTAAACAAAAGATGAAGAAAATTTTTTTACAGTAAATATAGAAGAACATGAAGAACATTATATTAGAAAAGAGAAAAAATTAGACCACAAAAATTTCAGCCAAAAAAAAAATGAGAGGAAAATTTTTCACTAATTAGATGGTTAAACTATGTTTCATTCGTGAAACATTATATGCATAAAAAAAATTATAAAACAAATCTGAAGAAAAAAAATACTCGCAATTCAAGAACATAAAAAAAAACATTAGAAGGGAGAGAAGTGAGAAAAAATCGGACCACAAAAAATTTTATCTGGAAAAAATTAGAGGGGAATTATTTATTAATTAAACACATAAACAAAGTTTGATTCATGAAATATTATATAAAAAAATTAAATATAGAAAAAATCTGGAAAAAAAAATCATGAATGAATACGAAGAACATGAAGAACATTAGAAGAGAGAGGAGAGAGAAAAACTAGACAAAAAAAATTTAGCCAAAAAAAATGAGAGGAGAGATAATAGGGTGGTTGGGAATTTGGGTACATTAATTGTGTCTTGAAATAGATATCAGATTTGAAATTCGGTCTGAAATATGATTTGAAATTTGAATGAAATATTATAAAATAGTTTTTTTTTTTTTTGTACCCCAAAGCAAACACCTATCATAGGCTGCCACATCATTGGTTTATGTTTGGCCCACATAAACCAAGTTTATTTGTAGCCTTTGCCCAAGGAAACTACTCCCTCCGTCCCATAAGTTCCTACTGTGTTTTTTTCACGGTATTTAAGAAATGGGAGGAGAAGTGGAAAAATTACATTAAAAGTGGAAAAAAAACTAGACAAAAGAAAAGGCAAGTGGATAATTTAAGGGGGAAAAAGTGAAAATTACAATATAGACAAAAGTTAGAGAAAGAAAGTGAAAAAAAAAGTACAATGCAAGTGGATAATTTAAGGGTAAATTAGGAAGTTCAATGAATAAAGTTTAATAAATAAGGATATAATGGTGTAAACAGAAACAATATTTTAGGTCTCTAAAATAGAAAAACAGAAACTATATTGTGAGACGGAGGAAGTATATGTTGGGTCGTTTGATTTTAGACTTTTCTTTGAAGTTTGAAACGAAATGATGAGGAGGTGATGGGGGAAACTAGGACTCTAGGATTTTGTTGGACAAAATCATGTCATTTTGTATTGAGTGGTAGACTAATGAACTTATGTTTAAATTAATGACTTTTGTGGTAGTAAAAGTTTTTCCCACAATGTATGGCTGGCCACATCACGGCTTGTAAAAAACAAAGTAACTCCTATTATACTGACCGAGCATCCCCCTATAACACTGACCGAGTAACACCCTTATAACACTAAGTGAGTAACCTCCCATGATGTCTAACCACACCGTGTGACCAGCCACATATAAGGATCTGTGTTGAAAATTAGTAATATTAATAATTCAATAAGATTTAAAATTTTGAGGTTATAGTGGAATAATGATAAAGAACTTGGTGAAAGTTTTTTCGTCCAAATTGGTGAAATTTTTGTTCCAATGTTAATTAATGATTAATGAAGATGTGTTTTTCTTATGTATAAGGAGGTAATATTAATTTATAAAGTGGAACATATTATGATTTAAATTCTATTCATGAAAAGCTAGTCGCTACAAAAGATATTGATGTAAACGGAATTCTAATGCATCAGTTTAAGACTTTAGTTAAATAAGGCCCCGTTCACTTCACCTTATTTTTGCTGAATTGAAATTATTTTTTACTGAACTGAAATTAATTTTGTTGAACTTAAATTATTTTTGCTAAACTGAAATTATTTTTACTGATTCTCTATTATATTTTTTCTTTAAAGTTAATTATCTTTATTGAACTGAAATTATTTTTGCTGAACTGTACTTATTTTTACTGAAATGAACTTATTTTTACTGAACTGAAATTATTTTTACTGAATATTATTATTTTAAGGTGAAATGAACAGGGCCTAAGTGAGTTAACAATTTATCACCCACATTCCACGGGTTTGAGAGTAGATGAACATTTTATTTTGATAAGAAAAATAATCAATAAATTTACTTCCATATCATTAAAGATATTAATCGACATATATTTGTTTTTTTTGGAAGAGATTACCTCTTGGATATTCAAATACAAAGTAATCATGTTAGTTTAGTTTATGTACTCTCCATTTTTGTTTTATTTATTTTTGCTCTAAATCAATTATTGTTTGACTGCTATTTTTAGAAGAATTTTAAGATAAAATAAGTGGGCGTAAGAGAAAAGGTAAATATAAAGCTCGAATGCATAAGTCTCACGGCTCATAATAGAAATGAACCTCATCCGAGAAAATTGTTTTTATTCCAAAACACTAGTCAATCCTTGCAATAATTACTTATTGCGATGAAGTATAAGTTTGCGATAAGAATATTTATTGCACTAGTCAAACTTATAATTCATTATTATTGCAATGAATAATTTCAATGAAGGAATCCGAGTCATTAAGTAAATAAAGGTCACGTTAGTGATTGTCAATGATTTGGGATTCTTTTTAAATACTTCGTATTTCTTAATTCTATAGTAATTAGCAAATGATGGTCGATGGAGCCTCTTACAGTTTTTGATAGCTTAATAATCTAATTAGAAGATTGATAAAAGATATTCTCTTCATTGCTAAATGTCTAGCCCGCTTTGATTTTAATCAAAATTTTGAACACCAATATCTTTAATTATATACTAAGTATTTTTTTTATAGGTATATCTTTAATTATATTAATAACAATTATGCAACAAATTTTTGGTATTCTAATAATATATATTAAAGATTAATCCAACATATTACTTAATAATATCTATATTTTGTACAAAGTATAATACGGTGTAGCAAATTATTATATTAGTATTTAAAATTATGCTAAAAGTCAAAGTTTGTTAAATATTCAATTGAGGTTTAATGAAGTAATTCCTTGTGTATTGATTGGCTTAAATAATACACATATATTTCTTTAATCAAGTTCAACTCGGACGGTTAATTATGCTCTGCTTCATACAAGTAGGAACTAGGAAGTAATGATAGACATGTTAGAAATAAAATTTATTTATATTTACTTCACTTTATTAAAAGAGTATGTATAACCTAAAGCCAACTCTCATTTGAATTAACTATGAGCATTAATGATTAACCAACTAATCTACATCATATTTTATTGCTTATTTTATTACACTTACAATATTACATATACCCCCTCCATTTGTTAAGTGACATATTTTCCACCAATCTACGTTTTTTAAGTGACACGATCTCCACTTTTACATTTTTTTATTATTTCTTTCATCTTACATCTTACTGTAATATTTAATTCTCTAACAAACTACTCCGTACTATCTAAACACTTTATATGTTTCTCCAAAAAAAACTCCTAGCGAAATCTAAGTGTATCACTTAAAAAACAGAGAAAATACTTCGTAACATCTTGTATTTACATGATATTAACCCTCGAACTTTATTTAATTTTAACATTTACTAATGTGTTTGGTGGGGGACAAACATGAAATTTTTCAGATCATTTTTTTTTTTACCTTTTTTTTTTGACCTAATACCCGGATCAGATTCTCTTACCTTTAAGTCTTTAACTCCACTACCAAGAAAACCTATCGAATACTCCGTAGCTCAAACCAGATTAACACATGTTACACATATGGTTTAGAATTCTAATCACATAAGATGCTTTCTCATCAAACTCATACTCCCTCTCTCCTAGATAAATTGACATAGTCATGCCGATACACTAATTTGTCCTTATTTGATTATTCATAGTAAATATTAGTTAAAATTATTAAAAAAAAATTATATTATAAAATTTTATACTAATAGCTATTTAACAACATACAGAGTATTTTATATTTAATTTATTAAGAGTAATACCGTCGCTCATATAGTGGCTAGATGAGAGACGGGAAGTAATACGAAACATGTTTGTATTGGTACTTATCCGCAAGGTATTACTAGCTACCTTAGCAGAGCTTAGAGCACTCTCAACAATGAGCAAATTTTTCCTCATGAGGAAAAAATAATGAGGGAAATTTTCCTCACCAGCATTACAATAATGAGGAAATCAGATTATCCCCAGTTTTCGTAGAAGTATTGGCGTTTTGCATGTAAATAATGGGAATCTGAGAAAAAGAATTGGCGGAAAATATGATGGCAAAAAGTACCACTACATGCATAATAGTACACAAAAAGTATTATTCAGACAACTTATACTTTGATGGTACATTATACTCCCTCCGTTAATTTTTATTTGCAACTTTAAGGGGAATCGCGGTTCACGAGGCAAAAGTTAAGGGGCAAATATTAGTGGAGTTAATTGAATGTGATTAAAGTGTTTGGAGAGAGAAAGGTTTGGCCCACCACTAAGAAAAGTAGTGGGAAAACCTGTACAACTTTTGGAGGGATTGTATTTCCCCCCCAAATTTCGTTGAAATTTTGTTGTGGGCTGAAATTTGGAGAAATTTCATTTCCCACCAAAAATTTGCTGAAATTTTAAACTACAGTACAAAACACTGTAATGTTTGAAATCTGCAGACCTATATAAGCACTGCATTTCATATTACAGAGGCAATTAAATACAGCCTCTCCATTCAAACAGCATTTAATGGTTTCTTGTTCACCCAAAACATAAACATTGTTCCTCCAAAAGATAATTAAGTTAATACAATTAAGTTAGCCCATTATATACCAAAAAAATTCCTACAATTAAGTTAATACTACCCGACTAAGACCCAAACACCTTCATAGGCAGCTGCAGCTCCTTCTTCCTTCATCTTGTTCTAAAAAACACAGCAGCCACCGTGACATCAATCAGCTGAATCTAAGGAAACAAACAAGGTCAGACAACCATGGCAGACTCATTTGAAGCGACGTACTTCGATGTGGATCAAATTTTGACAGAAGAACAAGAGGCAGAATTGTACTACGAATACGCAGAAAATTTGCAAGATTTAGGCATGGATTACTACAACTCTGAAGATGATATGATGCAAGACACAGAAGGAGAAGACCAAGGCCAGCAAAACACTGAACACACACAAGCTGAGGGTGGTTTCCAGGAAATGGAACAAGCCATTCACTAGGGGACTCAACAGAGACAAAGAAAGCAGCTCACCATGAAACAAAGAAGAGAAATAGTGGATTCAATGTTGGTCAACATGCATCAAGGCAACTTACCAAGAGGTCACTTAAAGCATTTGGCAGTTAATTACAATGTGCACAAATCAAGCATCACAAGAATTTTTGCAGACATAAAGAAACAAATGGCATAGGGCAGTTTGATTGATGTCAGGGGCAAAAAATTTGGCAGAGTAGGCAGAAAGCCAAAGGAATTTTCTGATGACTTCCTACAATCAGTGCCTTTACATTTAAGGCAGACAGAAAGGAGCTATGCAGTAGCATTAAAGATCTCCCATGTGACACTTCACAATTTGAAGAAAAAGGGAAGGTTAAGAACACACACAAGTATCAACAAGCTAGACCTGACATCCGACCACAAGGTAGCAAGAATGAAATGGATTTTGTCACACATAAATCCAGTTACAAGTAATGGGGACCCAACATTTGTTGAAATGAACAATGTGATACACATGGATGAGAAATGGTTCTATCTGAACCCTGACAAGAGGAGGTTTTACCTCCTACCTAGTGAGGAAGATCCTTATAGGCCTATACAGTCCACAAGATTCAAGCTCAAAGCAATGTTTATGGGCTTAATTGGGAAGCCATTGTATGACACAGATGGGGGACTACTTCATGATGGGAAATATGAAATATTCCCATTCACAGTCAAACAACTAGCCAAGAAGTCAAGTAAAAACAGAGTAGCAGGAACATGGGAAACAAAAGCAATACAAAATGTAAACAGAGAGGTCATCAGAGACATGTTGGTGGCCAATGTCATTCCAGCAATTATTTCAAAGTGGCCTGACAGTCAGCCAAAAAATATTGTAATCCAATGGGACAATGCAAGGCCACACCAAGTTTCTACTGATGCAGAGTTTATGGCAGCAACAACAGGTCATGGATTTAACATTCAATTTGTTTTCCAACCACCACAATCACCAGATTTGAATGTGCTTGACTTAGGGTTGTTTAGGTCAATTCAATCATTGCAATATCAGTCTTTTCCTAGCAACCTAGATGAGTTAGTTACAAATGTGCAAGAATCTTATGAGGCATTCAATCCTCAAGTCAATAAGTACATTTGGTTGTCTTTGCAAAAGTGCATGATTGAGATCCTTAAGGTACAAGGTGGGAATAAGTACAAATTACCCCACATTAACAAGAAAAAACTCGAAAACCTTGGAGAGTTGCCAAATAATGTACCAGTGCAGAAGGAACTTGTTTTGGAGGCAGTGGAGTACCTAGACACTATGTTTAGGCCAGTAAATGAGGGGACTGAACAAGGAACAGAAGAATTTGAGGTAGATGCAGACTGAGGGACTCATCACATCAAAGTAGAGACACATGGACTGCCACACATAACCACTTACAGTTGGTATGGTAATTTTGTTTTATGTTCTATTTTTTATTCTGGTATTAGGTGGTTAGGTGTATTTTGTTGATTACAGTGATGAATCATGTTAGGCAGTCTAATGTCAAGTACTTTTGTAACCACATGTTCAATGGAATAGAAATGGTTAAGAGTCTGATGTTAAGTGGGCACTCAATCCATCAGAAGTTTTTTTTTTTTTTCCATGTTTCAATAAACCACCAACCACAAGGTTACCTCAACAATAACAGCATAAAGCACATCATTGGAGCAAAACACTTGTGGGTTGGGAAGGTCAATAGAGTCCCTTCCTCATTTGGATTTTGACAGAGTACACAACACAGACACTTAGGGGACTGAATACAAGTCATGCTACCACATAAGGGACTGTCATGTGTTCTCTACTTAATTGATCATTGAGAAGACTTCAAGGTATGACCAAGGCACCTTTAAAAAATGTACAGACACATTAGCCTCATCATTCATCAATCAAACACCCATATGCCATTTTCCAACAATCCAACAGCTGCTAAAATATACTCCAACACATGCATACATGCAACATAGTCCAGAACAGCAGACATAGCCAAGCATCCAACTGACCAGCCAATAACAAACAGGCTATCTAGCCAACAAATTCCGGAACAACAAACATGACAAAAGAGCAGGCAATCAAAAACAGGCAACCATCCATGCTAAAATATACTCCAACACATGCATACATGCAACATAGTCCAGAACAGCAGACATAGCCAAGCATCCAACTGACCAGCCAATAACAAACAGGCTATCTAGCCAACAAATTCCGGAACAACAAACATGACAAAAGAGCATGCAATCAAAAACAGGCAACCATCCAACATCAATCCAGATCTACGCATACAAAACCAACTAAGCCAACATGCATCCAAATATAGTCACAGAATCCTACAACACCAACCAATTAACAAAGCTAATCAACAGTATATCGAAAAAATCAAAAAATAGGGACTCTTTTTTTTTAAAAAAAATTAACACAGGAAGGGTTAGAAAGCGTTACACTAGGGTCACTTGGAGGGTTGAACCCTAAGGTTCATCCGCCTCGCAGAGTGATTCCTCATAAGAGGGCCAACCACTTCACCGTCGTCACCTTGGTCAGCCTCGTCATCAGAAGTCAGGATAATGACCTCCTTGTCAGGCAACCCCCGAATACGACTCAAAGCCACCCAAGCTGCCTTCCTTTTAGGCCGAATCTTGCGTGGTGGCCTTGGATTGTTAGATCTGGGCTTAGTTTTGGGCATAACACTCCCCTCAGCACTGTCGCACACTGGATCTACAGAAACCCCAGTGCAGTCTAGCGCTTGTTTCCCCCGTGAATCTCCTTGACCCTCACCGGTCTTGCGACGCTCATCATCGTCTACGCTTTCAAGAACTTGGCCCAAGGCCTTGTATGTGGTCGGAGAACAGTAATTCAGGGCCTCCTCAAACGCGTATAACTCACGAGGAAAAGGAGATCCTTCGGCGATACCTGTCATCAGGGTTTTTATCAAGTTTGCCTCGCCCTCGTCATCGGTGGCGATATAAGCGTCGCGAAGTGGAGATAGGTTAACCATGGTGGTGGGGGGCTCTTTTTTTTGGAAGTTGAGAGGACGAAAACTCAGATTTCAGGAGGAACAATGGAGAAAATTACAGAGGCGAAGGAGAGTGAAAGTCGAAGAATCAGATCTAGGGTTCTTAAGAAGACTTGAGAAGCCAGAAATAATCCCAATGTTTTTTCAATTAAATGTTGGTGGTTGGGAATGTGGTTGTTGGGATTGGATTGGGGGAAATAAATGGAGGGAGTAATTAGATTAGGTTAATTTAGATGTTTTGTATGTAATGTGGGATTAGGGTTAATTAGGGGTAGAATTAAAAAAATCACAAAATTTAAGTAAGGGTAAAATAGTAATTTTTAGGGTTTTTGTTTACCAAAAATGGAAATAAATTAGAAAGTTGCAAATAATTTTTAGCGGACTAAAATGGCAAAAGTTGCAAATAAAAATTAACGGAGGGAGTACATGCATAAATAGTACACAAAAATGTACCACTGTACCATAAAGAGAGAGAAAATGTACCACCGAACCCCAAATTGCCTTCCTATGTGTATGCCAAATACATAGGCCCTATGGGCCTAGATGCACTCCCAATTTTCGTCATGCCATGTGGAAAAAATGAGATGTACAGTAGTAAGTGGGCCCCATCACCATTTGCTACTTATTTAATTTTTTTTACTTGCTTGCTATTCTTTTATTATATGAATATGATGATTTGTAGGAGAAAGAAAATGTTGATGGGGTATTGAAATAAGTAAGAGAGAGAGTGGTGAGGACATTTTTTTTTTATCATTGGTGGGATAAATTTTCCTCACCAAATTTCCTCATGAGAAAACTGAAAATTTTAGTGAGAGAAAGTGGGTAGAAAGAGAATGAGAAAACCATTTTTTTCCTCATTGCCGAGATTGCTCTATATATATTTTAATAAAATGCTCGCTCTTAACCGCTTTCAAAAAAAAAAAAAATGTCATTATTAAGAGGTTCTCCTTCAAAGTTTCCCTTAGCAACTTCTACTTATCCAAAATTAGATTATTTTATCCAGTCAATAATAATCATCATTTGAAGTTTTAACGTTTCGTTCTTTCTTCCCTCCCTCTTCTTCATCAAACAACAAGCTACATCAATATAAGAGAGAGAAAATCATCAAAACATCAAAGAAGTAGAAAATCTTCTTCCTAAATTTTCTCTCTCTTCAAATCTCATGAATTTCTCCATTTTACAATGCCTCTTTCCAACAATAATTCATCAGTAATACCATATCTTGATGAATTGCAGTTTTCTATCTTCAATTATTATTATTATTATTATTATTGTTATTATTATTATTATTATTCTGGAAAATTCAGCTAATAAGTTGCTTGATTTCTTGCGGTTTTTTTGCAGTATTCGAGCTCATTGACGATTGGAGAGAGATTATGCGCTGTTTTACTGCCGTTTATCGCAATCATTGAGACGCTTGCTTTCGCAGTTTCTCATTGCTTCGAATTGGATGATTTGGATAATCCGCGAAATCAAAAGAAGAAGAAATTTAAGCAAATTCACACCGACTTTGTTCGCCTTGCTCGTGAATCTCTTTGTACGTTTTCGGAATTCTATGAATTTTCATTTAATCTAATTTTTGATTGACCTAGTTTTCGAATTTGATTTTGAGGTTAAATCACTTAAATGCAGTTACGGTGAATGAAATTGAGGCATTATTCGAGTTATTCAAAAAATTGAGTAGTACAATCATTGATGATGGCTTAATTCATAAGGTATTGTATTCTTAAATACACTTTTTAATAATTTATTACTCCATTTAGTACCGTAAATGATTTTATTAAATATATTGTCAACATATCTGGCGTTTGTTGTTCTTGCGTGTTTCTTTGGGATCTGGAAAATTGCTTTGGATTGTTCTTGTGCGTTTCATTGCACAAGTGGCTCACATGTAATCAGGTGGCTGAGTGGCTGACATGTTTTGACACTGAATAAGTAATTTGGTTTATATTATTTCGCAAGTCGGGCATTTGTGACCTTTTGAAGTTAGATTGCACTAGGTGTATGATGTAAACTGTGCTTGAAATACTTTTCTTTCATCTTCTTACATACTTTAGCAAGAATTAGGTAGTGTTCTCTTCACCTTAATTTCACTTATCTTATTAGCACTGGCGGAGCCATGGGACAAGGGTGGACATCTCTCTCCCCACTTAATTTTTTTTTTGTCCAAGTACATATTTTTGTGCATAGTGAATCATAACAACAAAGATGGTGCCGCGGTCAAAGTTATACTTGTAGAGGCTTGATGACGCGGGATCAAACCCTGAGAGTTCGTTTAAGCCCCTTTTTTTGGCTGAGTATAAAATGACTATAAATTTTAAACTTGCAACATTAGTCATGAACTTAGCCCTGATAATATCTAACTTATTAATATTTATCTTATAATTATTATCCTATCATATCTTATATATTATTATCTTATCTATTAAATCGTATTAAGCCTTATATAAAATGTTCTTATTAGAACTCATTAAATTTTATATTATATTATCTTAACTTATTAGAATACAAAGTATCTTATTTGACTTTTTGGGTAGAAAAGAGAAAATTGTAATTATGGAGTATGATGTGGACTATGTGGTAGAGTAAGGACTCAGGAGGGATAAAAGTGGATCATAAATGGAATAAAGCAAAAGTAGGAAGACCAAAAAATGAACGGAGGGAGTAAAATGTTTAGGAAAGTAAGAAGATAAAAAGGAAAAAAAGAAGAACGGAGGGAGTAAAATGTTTAGGTAAAGAATATGCCTATTGCTTTCCTTTCAATGGCATAATGTGTGTATAGAATGTTTTAGTAAATAGTTTCCTAAAGGGTGTACACACACCTTAAAACAATTTGAGGAAAATACTAAACGAATACAAGAAAATTATCCCATTGCTTAGCTGAAATGTTTGTTGGCTGCTTGGATACATGTAGGAGTGTTGTTGCTAGTCTGAATCTCATCCTGCAAGAAATGGTTGTTAACCTCATTATCTGTTATGTTCATGAAAAATTGGATTCTCATATATATTTAGGATAGGTATGCTTGACTATCATAAAGTAGTATATTATACTAGGAGATGATTATGCTACCCTCAAGGCCAACAATAATCCTTAATAAAGGTTTAATAGTTCCATGTGGTGGCTCTAATGCCATAAAATATTTTGGATATAGATTTTCTCACCTACGTCATGTCCAAGGCATTTTTTTGGGCGTAAAGATTGCCATAAAGAGAAGTGATGTAAATGACTGAATGGGATTTGATTCAAGCCTTGGGTACCTCCTCTCAAGATATAAACCAACTTAAATAGTTGGCATCCACAGGTCCAAAAAAATATTACTTATATCCCATCATAATAATTTTGGGACCAGTTTAAGGAAAATCCTAGACGTAACTAATAGTAATGTAAAAATTTTACTCGTAACAAGATGTTGCTAGAAATTAGACTGCTGATTATAAGTTTTTTGCCTAATTATTGGGAACAATTAATTTTTTGTTGCCATTAGAGTGGCTCAAGCTGACCAGAAGACTCGCTACCATGCTGGCTAAGAACTCCATACTTGATGCGTCCAACAAGGTAACAGTCCATGCCAGATGGAAAGGTTCCTTGCAAAAGGAGAGAGCCCTTCATTTCTTTGCCAAAATACATGTCATATTCACGCCCACCATTTGCTACAAATTGCTTGCTTTTCATGAATATATGGTTTCTAGATTGCATTGGATAGAATAAGTTCGACTTTGTATCTGTGTACAAACACTCAATATTTTGTTAGTTCATAGCATTGACTATTTGAGCCATCTGTTAGCCAGGGAGGGTTGGTTAAAATGCTAAGTAGTTGGATAAAGAGGTGGAGGATATGGGTGTAGTGGATATGAGAAAATTGATGGAGGTTTGGAGGCATTGAGGACAGTAGAGATGATCAGGTAAATGAGTGTATGGGCTGGTGGAGGTTGTGGAAGTTGCAAAGATTGATCTATGTACAATAAAGATGATTCAAAGGTGCTTCTCCTTTCTCTTTTTCACAGTCATCCTTTCCAGTGGTGTGCATAGGAAGAATCTAGGTCAGACTCAGTGTTTCTATCTCTCTCCTTGGCATTTTGCCTCTAGTTGTCTATGTTTATAAATTTTTTAGCATCAACTGTGATACTGAAGTATGGGTAAAGTATAAAGTTCTTGGAAACTCTGTTAGTCTATTGAGCTAGGTCCTTTTTGTTTTTGTTTCAGTGTTTGTGTGTGTGTTGGGGAGGGGAGAAGGGAAGGGTTGGTTGCTTGCCTTTTAGGCGGAGGTAACCAGCCAAACTTGATTATCTCTCTTTTTTATGATGGATACCCCACTGTATTTAATATCCTCTATATATTCATAGTTTACATAGCTTCAATTAAGTTGATCACTATATCTAGAAGCATTTTGGATCTAAGTAGTTATATTATCAATTATACTTGAAAATTTGGAATGAGGGAATTCAATTAAGTGGTTTATAGAAGTTAAATAAAGAGGTTACAGTGAGTGGAAGTAGTGGTGATTGTTAGTATTTACTATTGAGTGCTCATAGAGGAGGGAGAGAAAATGAAAAGTTACCCTTGAATGATCCATCCCTTACTTTGGGTAGTAGACTACCACTAGATGAGGATTAGTTCTGCAATGGCTGCTATTTCCTTCGATTACCATCACCTCTTCGTTTTAGATCTTATCACCCCTTGATAAATTTTTCTCATTCCAGGCATGGCTTAAGAGTAAGTTATATCATCCAAAATAATTAGTCTGCTGTATGTTCAGATTTGAACTGGTTCACTGACCTTCATCTCACTTTAGTTGTGAACCCTTGAAAATCTGAACTTGGATTGTGCTATGAAGCATTCAGCAGTATGCCAGTATCTGACAATCCCATATTATGAATCTTTTTAAAATTCTCCCGCATGAATCAGGCTCTAGAAAAGATTTGTAACTTTCTCTTTAAGCACTTGGGATAAAAAAAAAATAAAGAAATTGTAACTTGAGTATTACAAGCTGACTAATGATAGGGAGTATATGTTTCAGTCCCTTTCTGCCTTCTCAAAGCATCTTATTGTCAGCCATTAATTATAAGCTGTAAACAATGATGTGTTTATAACAAAAGAGGCTTGATTGTGGCTTTTTATATATAAAACAAATACCTATTGGGAAGCTGTCTGCTGTCCTAGTCAGATCATCCAATTGGTTAGAAACCCTAACCTTTTTAACGGTTTCTTTGGCAAAAGATCAGGCTACTCATTCATAGGCTGTGCGCCTGTACCAAATCTTTCCCTCCTTTATCCTTTCATGGCATTATAAGTGCCAACAACTATAATAGCATAGTCATAGATGAGTTGTCTAGAGACAACACTTTGTTTTACTTTTCTTTTGAGTTTGTTTTAGACAGAATAGATTCAAGGCAGTTGGATAGAGCAATACATGTGGGAAACGACTTTATGTCATTGTCTTAAGAGCTTCGAGCTTGTGACTGTTGTCGTTCTTTGAATGAGATCAAGGTGGATGTGATTATGTTGGTCTGAGCCCCCCCCCCCCCCCCCCAAAAAAAAAAAAAAAAAAAAAAAAAAGTAAAAAAATAAATATATAATTGTAACATTTATCAGTTAGTGTAATTTATCCTTATTGTATTCTTGACTTTGCATTGCATAGATCTGTCTCCCAATTTGTAAAGTTTCTCTTTCCATTTATTGGGGCTCTTTTCCTTGCTGTGGCAAAATCCTTCTTCAGATTGACAATGGTTACTTTGGTGGCTTTAATCGAAGCATTGTGTTTTGTAAATGTTCTATAAGTTATATCTGACTTCCGTTTCATATTTGTTGCAGACAGTACATAAGCTTAACGATATCTTTTCTGCCGTAGCTACCCCTGATTGGTTCTAATTGGTTTATTAATTGATATGCAGGAGGAACTTCAACTAGCACTTTTCAGAAGCCAAATTGGCAAAAATCTTTTTGTGGACCGGGTAATGTATTTATCTCTCATGTACACATTCATTGTTGGATTTAGCTTCTTATTGACTGCAATTTATGTTTAGTTATGCCTTGGCGAAAGGGCTATGAGCTTCTAATGAAATGCCTTGAATTATGAGTGTAACATGTTAGCATTGGTAACAATTCTAAGCTCTGAATTTTATCTTGTTACATTCAACGTAGTTCTCTGGCTAAGGAATTGCTTCTTCGAGTACTGAGTAAATCACTTAAAGGAAGGTGTGGTTGCTTGTTTTTTATTATGTACAATGCTGCCTAGTGCCTACTGTAATGGTTTTCATTACTTTGGGATCTGTGATTTTTATTGACTTAAATTGGTTTAGGAGGAGTTGCAAAGTCCAATAGATGCACATGGGTTTGATTTTGTTTCCCGGGTATGGCTCCCTACAGACTTCACCAGTCAATTTACCAAATTTTTGCTGTATGTGACTATGTGACATTGTCGACTGAAACTTCTTTTCATCTTATAAAATAGAATAGTAGTTGATTTGAGATTAGGTACCAGGCCTTCCCACCTCTTAGAAATGCCAGCTAAATCAAGATATTTCATTATAAAGGTAATTTAAACTTTATGATTGGACTGAAAAAGGACTAAACCAGAAGAACCTACATTATTACTAAAGGCTAAATGGGGAGGGGAGGTGTGGCCCTTTTGGTGCAATCTGATCTGCAGAAGTCATGTACAGCTGCATAAAAGACTCAAGCTCTAATCAATCACCTCATTGGTTTTGCAGGTTTTTGACCTCTTTGATGAAAAGGAGAATGGTGTCATTGACTTTGAGGAATTTATTCACGCATTGAATGTATTTCATCCCCATGCGCCTATTGAAGATAAAATTAACTGTACGTGTCTGGCCCATCCTCCTGTTTCAGCTTCTGAGATATGTTTTTTTTTTTTTTTAAAAAAAAACCTAACACTGTGCCTCATCTCCTCGTCTAATATCTATATATGTATTTCAGTTGCGTTTAGACTGTATGATCTGAGACAAACTGGATTTATTGAACGCGAGGAAGTAAGTGTTATTCCTTATTTATGCTCGCATTTAACAATTCCAATTGCAAATTCTTAGACATGTCTGCTTTCAGGTTAAGCAAATGGTGATAGCCATTTTATCTGAATCAGGATTGGATTTATCAGATGATCTTTTAGAGTCGATCATTGACAAGGTAACTTTATTTAGAAGTAGATCTTAATGTGTTTTCTTTTGCTTCTGTAACATACATATCTAAATGTATCTGAGTTTTGAACTTTGACGCTCTCAATCTACTTGGAGCATCCTGAATTTTAGGTATTTTCTTTTCTAGCTACATATTATTTACCAAACTCTGATTATTCTTAAAAAATTATTGTGATTCAGACTTTTGCTGAGGCTGATGCTGACAGAGATGGTAAAATTTGCAAGGAAGAGTGGAAGACTTATGTTCTTCGTAATCCTAGCCTCTTGAGGAACATGACTCTTCCTTATCTCGTGTATGCCACTTCACTTTTACCTCTTTCTGGAACTGTCTTCCATTCTTTTGGACTTTTTTTTTCATCAAGAACCTATCATTGCCAACGGGTTTATCATCCTGAAGATAATATCCCCTATGATAACCATTGGCTCCAAATTAAATCTGATATTTGACTAATTAATTCTCAGTGTAATGTTATTATTAAATGGATTTACTCTGTAGACAATGTTTACCATGTAGAATATAAGATCCTACTCAATTTGGTGGTTGATATTTTAACAATTTGAGGTTGTGATACAGAATATAATGACTAATTATTATAATAAAGAACCTGTCATTGTCTTTGGGTTTTGTCATCCTGAAGATAACATTGCATATGATAACTGTTGGCTTCATTTTGAATCTGATAATTGACTAATTTATTCTCAATGTAATGTTAATATCAAGTAATTTTACTCTGTAGACAATGTTAATCATGTAGAATATTAGATCCTACTGAATTTGATGGTCGATATTGTCATCAACATTCTGAGGCTGAGATACAGGGTATAACGGCTAATTTATTATAAGAAACCCAAATTAGATTTTGTGATGCCACTTCTATTGATCCATGTAATTTTGAGCAACAACAATTTCTCTTTAATGCTTTTAGATAGTAGTTCTTTTGTTATGCTTATGGCTCTGTCATCTATTGTATAACATGGTTTTTGAATGCTCTTTAGCAGTAAAAAGTTAATAACGCTGTGATTATATCAAAGTTATTTTCCTTGGGATTTCATTTTTTTTATTTTTTTTGTGAGGGGGGAAGAGAAGTTGGTGTAATGGCTTCTATTTTTTTTCTTGAAGAATATATGGCTTCTTAATACGCACTTGATAGAAATTTAACATCTTTGTGATTTTGTTCAGGGATGTTACCACATGTTTTCCAAGTTTTATTTTCAACACTGAAGTTGAAGAATGAGTGATGCTTCCTCATGGGTAGTTCTGGAAAAAGATAAGACAGAAAAGAGTCCCAAGAAAACCAGGCGGTTTAAATGTTGCCTGAGGTTCGAAAGATCCCGATATTCAGCAGTTGGCTACTTATCTGATGCAAGTATGATTCTGGTAGTCACAAATCTCACAATGGCAAAGATTCCTGCTCTAATCGACCTGGGAATTGTGGGTCTTAACAGCGCGTTTGGTAGGCCAGTAGCTAGTAGCTGGTAGTTATTTGGAGGTAATGATAACCTATATACAAGTACGATTTTGTAAAGAAAGCCTCATGTCAATGTCAGCTGTAATGCTTGTCCACCTCCAAATATATTTGTTTCGTAAATTTCCTTCATTTCATTCTCACTTTTAAGGCAGTGTTGAGTTACAATGGAATCCATGAAGAAAAATACATGACGGATTCCATCGACACGGGAATTACCTTTACAATTTTGCATATATCTTCATTGTCATTGGCTGTCATTTTTTATTGTATACCATAAACCCGTGGCCGTTAGTGCTGTCGGTAGCAATCTTGAACCTGTAAATTCTGTAATAGAAACCTGTGAAGGCTGTGTTAGTGCAAAGTGCCCTATTTCTCTTGATACAAAATGTCTAAAAATACCAGGCAATTCAAAATTTCCAATATGAAATAGGCACTCCGCCAGAATTTTTCAGACATCTTCAATACTCATATTATGTGCCCTTATTGTAATTATTCTTGAGGAAAATTAATGTAATAAAGATGTCGAAAATTTTTATGCGAGGAGCTCCCTTTAGTTTTTTCTGGATGTGTGTGTTTTTGTTAGGTAAGAAATCCAGCTGAAACTTACTAAAGAAGAAGCAACATTTTTATTTAGCAGCAGAGGACTGAAGGAGACTGATTTGAGTGTAAGTTTTACTTGTGAAATTGTTAATTTTCTTAAGAAAATTAAGATACGACGAGGCAATTTTCGTAGGTTTTACTTCCAGTGAAAGAAGTAAAACCTTTAGCCCTTCTGTTTCCGTGCTCTTCGTTCTTCCCTGTAACGCGCTCAATCTGCAGTTCTGTATGTTGAGTTCAGTGATTCTTCATGCTTAGTGAAGTCATCGCCCTATCAGCTTTTATACTCACTGTACAACTTGTCCAGATTCTTAATCCTTATGGGAGGCTAGAACTGTGGAAACTTCTGCTTCTCTAGAATAATAATCCCGAGGAATTTCCTTTAAAATGTTTGATATACTGTAACCTCGACTTTCACTTTCACGAGTGAGAATAGCTTGAAGCTCACTGTTATCGTCCTCACTTTTATACAAGTTTTGTCGATAGAACAACTATTATGCTTCAATATTTTCTTAGACTGAATGCTAATCTAACAGATTGTGTGAAACTTTTCTCACCGTCATCGGGATATCGGAATGGTGAAGAACCATACTAACAGATAGATGCTCTTATCTGCTTTGATACTGCTTTCAACATGAGCTTTGGCAGGTAAGTGCTCTTACTACGCTAACAGATTAATAACCTTCATATGCTATAATATGCCTCCTAAAGTTGACCTATCTGCATTAAGGGTTAATAATAAATTTGTCTAATGCGCCTTTACCTTTTAAGGATCAAACCCTTAAAACATGCAAAGATTATCCTTTTCTCCTTAAACTGTAATTAAGCTACTACAAGGTTCAGATATTTAGAGGCTATGTTTCCTGAAAAGATGAAAACTTGTCCTCCTATCTCAGTTAATGACACAATAGACTTGTTTGCATTGGTAGGTGGTAATAATGATAGTAATTAGGCTTCTGCTGTCAAATAGGAAAAAAAAAAACTTGTGCTTAAATTTACTTCTTTATTGCAAAGGATAGATCCATAATCTATTACAAGGTAGAGAGAAATTTTTATCACTGTCTATCAAACAGGCTTAATGAAACTTATGAAGCTTCTACTTTTGTATTATGAATGGCAATCCATCCATAATTATTAGTTTGTATTCTCAACAAAACCATCTAACTATATTGAATCGAGGGGACCAAGCAAGGCTTAGCCTAGTGTCTCATGACTAAGGTCATGGGATCAAATTCCACTAGGGGCTCTTTAGAGGTGAGGATTCCCTTATCTTTTCCCTTCACTCCTAATGAGTTTAACTTGCAAAGTTGAACTGGATTGACCTGTGAGAGATGCCGATTCAATAGAGTCCTTCTATTTATTCTAATAAAAAAAACATATATATTAAATCTTGGGGATCATGTATTAGCTCCTAGCTTAATGCTACTTATTTAAACAATCGATTAAGTGTCTAATACAAATACTTAAGGTAAAAATTTAACTTACATAATTTGAATAAGTACAATCTTTTAAAAAATAAAACACGGCGTCTTAAAAAGACTACTCTCACATCACTAATTATTGTTAGCAAATGAGAATAGTACTCAAGAATAATAATAAGAAACAATCATCATTAAAGCACAAGACATCATTAAGAAAATAAACCTTAAGTGGGTTATGAAATATTTTTACAAAGATATTGTCCTAAGATGAGAACAAGACTAGTACTAGTTAAATTGGTAGCTTTCATAATCACTCTCCTAGTTGGCAACCAAGAAAAATCCCAAGCTAAACTTGTCATAGTTTTAGTTCACTTATATGTAGGCCCTATTTTAGCTTAGTCCTAGCCAAAGGGGTCAAAAAATCCTGCACTTTGTTTTTGTGGGTCATTTTTTTGAAGTTTTAGGTGGAACTGTTTTTTTATTTTCTCTTTTGCATGTGCACCGCAACATATATGCCACACCGTTCAACGAAAGCAACTCAACTATTAAAAGATTTTCCATTCATAATCATTATTATTATTTATTTTACATCATACGTCATTTTTTTAATTTTTCATAATATAAAGAAATGAGAGAATTTGGCGCCAATTTACCCCATTACACGTTTGGAAAAAATTTCACATCCGTGGGGTTTGTGTGTGAGTATGACATTGACAACCTCTTTTTTATTTTTTTTCTTTGCTTTTGGTGATCACTAAGCTACTAGATTTTTAGTGGTTGATTATAGGGCCACATTTATACGCATCCATATCTACCAAGATACTATACAATATTAAGTGAAGTTGAGTCAATTTATTTTATTATACACAAAAATTATACTTTGGTGGTAGTGATGCTACAAGTTGAACATAATACTCAATTTTATTTTGTTTTGAATGGAACTTAATTTGAACGGCACATTTGTCACTTTCTATTGTGGCTCTTTTTCACATCTTTTTTCCACTGAAATTGCAGACATAGACACCAATGCTCATAAAATAGCACAATTATATTGATAATTAGAGGGCGCACAAAATTAGTGTACACCTAAGTGCAAGCTAGTTTCATCTAGCCCTCCGGTTTTAGGTTACTAAAACTAAGTGGAGGTCGGATTTAGGAGGATGAGGAATTATGTATTTGGTGATGGTGGCAACACTCAATGGCACCAAGTGTGAGGTGGTGGATGTTGGATGGTGAGGAAAAGCAAAAATGGGTGGGGTAAGGAGTTTGAAGGGGAAGGGAGGAGAAAAGAGAGGGGCAATGGTATAAGTATTTTTGGATTTAAAAAAAAAAAAACAATGCATGGATGGAGAATTTAGGGCCATGTTTAGTAATTACTCATCAATGAAGATTTCTCAATGGTATCAGTTAAGCAAAAACAGACGTTATTAGAGTCAGTCATTAAAGACTCAAGCTATTAAATTAGAGGTGGAGAATTTCCATCATCATTTTCTATAAATTCAAAGTTATACATACATTACAAGAGTTACGATGTGTTAATTCAACATTTAGTACGCTAGTGGTAGCAAAAAATGATGTTTCTCTAGCCTCCCTTAGTTTTAAGATTATTATTATTATTATTATTATTATTATTATTTTTTTAGAAAACCTTATTTTAAAAATATTATGATAACACTTTGATACGTAATTTATAAGTTAGGTTAAAAACATTGTGATGGGTGCATGAGTTGACAAATTGTAACTTGTAAGGGATGATGATAATTAATTCAAGCTCTTAAAAACAAGGGAGACAATATAATTGAAATAGTAACATACAAATTGTAGTTTAAAAGACATAAAAACTAAGATTATTCTCCCATATTTATTAAGCTAGACAAGAAAATCTAGCATTTTGCACACTTGACATGAGTAAACATGTAAAATCATTGGTATGTTTAGCATGCTTGTTATCCCCTTACTGCATCCATAATAAGAAGGCTGGGCGGGCGGGCAGCCGGCCGAGCAATCGGGTCTAATTAGATGCAGCTTCAATGGCAGACACTCAACCATGAAGCATAATGGTAGTTATGCTTCATGGCTAGCTAAAGGGGATCACCAAGATGTTGGAAGGCATATTCATCATTGATGTTGGTCAGTCTCAGTTTTTTTACAAAGAGAATCATTATTATGAGTTTTAACTTTAAAAAAGCATCATTTCATTGCACAAAAAAGCAAAGACCAAATAGCCAAAATATAAAGCAACAACCTTAGTATATAATCAGATAAAAATCCTTTTTTTTTTTTGGATGATTCTTTTCATTACAACCCCCAAATCATCATATACATCACTATGTGTTTAACATAATGACATATACATAAAACCAATACACACTAATTAACTAAAATTAGGGAAAAAAAAAGCCAAATCTTGTTCATAAATCCAAGATGGGCCCCTCCCAAATCTCCTTTGAATGGGAGTATCAAGCAAATTACATTACATTACCATAATTAGGAAAAAAAATTAAAAGAAAAAAAAAAAAAAGTAAAAGTCACTACCACCACAAAACAATAATAGGTGGTTGTTAGACTTTGATGATATTTTGTATCATTTTTCTTTCTCTCCCTTTCTTTCCCTTTCAAGGGAGAAGTTAAGACATGTTTTTCCTAATTTTTCCTAAGACAAACTATATTTTACAAGCCCTTAAACCAACCCAACTAAATGATAGGATGGTAAGGTAATTACCATCCAATTTCAACACTAATCTTTCTTTACATGTTCATTAGTGTTAAAAATAAAAAAAGGATGGATTTTTTTTTGGTTACTAAAAACTAACATCAAACTTTGACAAACTCCCTATATTGTACTAGTCTAACTACTAATACTAGTAAAGTCAATACTAAAAATTAAACAACCCTTTGGTACTTAGGTGAAGAAATCATTGAGCAATCAAAATTATCTAACCCCCTTTTCCTAGGGGAATTAGAAGTAGTAATGGTTACTGGTGGAATTTCAATGGAGTCAAGCCTAGGAGGTGGGTGTTGCCATTGTGGAAGCGGACCGGCTAATAGGAGTGTTTGTAAAAGTGGTCCGGCTTCCATTACCGCCTTTAATAACTTCCCTTTCTCTGGTAAGGGGCGGCGATTGCTAGCCAATGTTGCTGCTATTTGTGGTGGCAATGCTGGTTGTTGTATGGCAGCAGGGGAGTTAGCACCTCCTTGTGGAGAAGAGATTATGCTGCTCTCCTCACACTCAGAAGAAGATGTGGAAAAACAGTTAGTTGTTGTGTTAGTATTAGACAATGAAGCTGCTGCTGCAGACTTCTGCTGCTGCTGCTGTTGCTGCAGGCTTTCTTGCTGCGGCTGTTGTCGCTGTCGTTGCTGCTGTTGCTGTAATTGCTGCTGCAGCAGCAGCTTTTCCAGCATTAGTTTCTGGGATTTAGATTGAGCTTCATCTCTTTCCTTAATTGTCATCATTAAGAGATCTTTCATCTGGATTAATTCCTCCTCTTTTTTCATAATTTCTTCCTGAGCAGCTATTACTGTTGCCTCTAACTCCATTCTTGATTGCAATATGTACTGTCTCATCTCACCCATCATCCCCTGCCAAAAGCAACAGCTCAAGTCAAAATCTATATTAAATCAATGTCAGTAAAAAAAATACTTAATTAACTGATTTGACAAGTAAAACTAATAAAAATAATGATGGGACTTACTCTAATGTGCACATAATTAGCTGATTTGACAAGAAAAACAAGTAAAAAAAGATGGAATTTTTTTTTACCTCTTCTTCATTATAGTAAACCCACCCAAAAGGGCTGCATTGCTCCATTCTTTTCCCCCAATTGATTAGAATTAGCCTAGATTAGAAGGAAGTTGGAAGCAGAAAAATAGAGAGAAAAACTCTGGTTGTTTTTGTAAGTGGTTTAAGAGTATAGAATAGAATGAAGATATAATGTGGGGTGATTTGTCTCCTTATATGGAATAGAGAAGAAGTCACTATTAATGTGCTTTAATTGCTTTTGGTATATTTGGGTAGATTGCTTTTACGGATTCATGGGACATATGGTTGGACAAAGACACCAAAAGCCAAAAGCATGCAAATACACAAATGCGACTTTCCTATTTGCTACAGCTTTTGTACTAAAACTAATTATGCTCTATCTCATCCCATGTTTTTACTTTATTGCTTATGGGATTTTTGGGGATTCTTATTCATTTTTCTATCCTCTTTAAGTTTTCGCTTTAAGGACTATAAGCAATCTGCCATTTTGCGTCTTGTATGAGACGGATTTATAATAATTTATTGTGAGGTCGGGATGACTTTTGAATTGGCAGTTTCACAATAATTTATTTTAAGATTGAGCTGACTATTGTATTATAAGAAGTAACTTAAATTTTGAGGATTCATATTCATTTTTATGTGACCATGCTTTGTTTAGTTTGATGTTGATAAGCAGGTAGCGTCTTATATGAGACGGACTTAGAATAATTTATCGTGAGATCAGAATGACTTGAATTTTCTAGGAAGAGCTTTTAATGTCAAAATAAATAATTACAAGTCTATTTTGTCTAAGTATTTTTTTTTTATTTAATATTATATTTCCTAGGGTGTGGCAACTTGCTTTGTATGAGAGAAAATGAGCTTTGTTTGTAGAATATGCATCTTCCCATAATCCTATCTAAAACCCTAAAGGTGTAATTTTTATGTATTACAACTTCTATCAGATGTGAATGTTAATTTGGTTAATCAAATTGTCTTTGTTAAACATGTCATTCACAAGATTAAAAGAGTGATTCGCCCTATAAATTTCCTTGCAATAACAACACCAATTGTCACAAGAGAAGTTGCAGACATATTGAAATCAACTATTATGGAGAATGTTCTTCTTAAGGTGTTTGAAAATCTACATGCTCCATTAGAAACTAACGCTGCACATGTGAAGTTATTTACAGAGTATAGTACAATTACATATACTTATAAATCATATTAGAATACCACTAATAATTATATTTTAAAATAAATTGTACAAAGTATAAGATTTACTATTAAATTTTTGTATAGTAATAACTTAATAACCCTTAAAATCAATTGACTAGTCTAATTTACTACTTATAGTAGGCCCGTTCTTTTGAAGTTTGTCAGTTTAATTAAATTCGATTTAATTCAGTTCAGTTCAGTTCACCTTTATTTAGCTCGGTTTTATATTATGTTTCGTATTTTATTTCAGTTCAATTCAGTTCCGTTTGATTCGATCCAAATAAGTCGAAAAGAACCGGTTCGTAATTATAGCTAGTCAGAACAGGACTGAACACAGCAAGTGAGAGTGTATACTGTAGTAGCCGTTAGTGAAGTGTGAAATAGTTAGTTACGAAAAAGGGCGCCGCAGACGCAGTGGCATGCACGTGCAGTTTGGCCGTGTGAAAGTAAAGAGGTTCAGTTATTCTGGGTTAGACCGTTTTTAGCTATTATGGCTTGACTTGACATTCTTCTCAATTCTCAGGCTGTGGCATGGTTAGCTGGTTTCCATTGGAACAGGATATTATTGTTTAATTAATCATTTTTCAAAAGCAATACACCAACCCTTTCACTCTACTATATCCTCATCAAAATCCACTTTATTCATAATATACTTCGTTTCATTAAAATTGTAACAATTGTAAACTAAAATTGTAACAATTGTAACTGATCTGATTGTCATTCAATATATAGATAAGAGAAGAGAGCTAACATGTGAGTTGTTTCTAACTTGTATGATTTACAAAGTACACAAAAATTAACCTATTAAGTAAGTTGTAGGTAAATGAAACTGTTCTGAGCAGATAGAGGGGGGGGGGGCTTGTTATGAGATTACACAAAAGTAAAATTGTTTTGAGCAGAAATGACAAACGTGGACTTATTCTTTTCAATTTTTCCAAATAATTAATTCAAATATGTTTTCTTATGTTTATGTTTCGTATAAGTTCAAATAAAAAATTCAAACAAAGTTTAATTGCAATTGCACTAAATTTAATTAAATACTTGTGACCTCAAGGTTACAAGGTGAATTTTCACCAACTACACCAAGCTTTGCTTGGTTTTATAATTATATTGAAAGGGGCTTATCTTCAAGCTAAATACTCTCAATTCAAACCCAAATAAATTAACCAGAGTTATAACATATGATAAGAGTCTTATTAAGTGATCGAGTCAAGAGTTGCTTGCTTAAAGAAACTAAAATAAAATAAAAAGAGTTTTGATATTAGATCCATAATTTTTGATGATTTCAGCTCAGTAAAGTTCGATTGAAAAGAAAATATTGCTAGACATCCAAGCTATTAATTAGTCTTTTACTAGCTACTCTATAGCTACACCATGCAAGTTCTAACTTCTAAGGGTTTCTTCGTCATTATATAGAACAAGAAAATGTAAATTTCCTTGTTATTTTAATGAACCATCAAATCGATGAGTTTTGTTTTTTTAATTTACATGTATCTTGTTTCTTTCATAAGTCATGATACTCTTAGATGTTGCTTCATTAACATTGCACATTATAACTTTACAAGCATAATGCATGTCTTAAATAATTGATCGAGTTCTTTGCTTATTATTATACGTCAGTACGGAGAAATATATATTAATGCAACTTATCCTCAACTCCTCAAGTATTCATCAAGTATATAATGTGCTAAGTCTTACGTCAATATATACTAATGCAATTAAAATGTATAGAAAGTCTTACGTCAATATATACTAATGCAATTAAAATGTGTAGAAAGTCTTACGTCAATAATAATAACCAAATACCTCATGTGTTATATTTGTGGTGGTCGAACTTTATCTAGTGTTGGAGAAATATATTATTACCATGAGCGTGAACGAAACTTAAGCCTACCAAACACGTTGGCTTGATGCATGTTATGCTGTCAACATCAAACAAGGCTTGACCCGCTTAATAAGACTTACTTATATTACCTTAAATTAAATCCTACAGGTTTGGTTGGAATCTTGACAAGTGAGGGTGCTTGGGTTGGCTTTCCTTCCTCCCCCCCCCCCCCCACCCTTTACTCCTAAGTGCATGTCTAGCCTGCAAGTAGTGGACAAAAAATCATAAGAGTTAAGGTTTGGTCAAGGTTTTTTTCTTTACAACAAAAAAATATTAATGCTTATCAACGACACAATTAACCATCTACAAATGCTTATTGGCCTTTTTATTTTAACAACCATATGGTATCCCTACAATTGTCGCCTTGCCCGGAGGTTGAGCTTTCACCTAATAAGCAGGATTTTTCCCCTCTGCCATTAGCTAGCTCATGAGATTAGCTATGATACTTGCAAAATCTGCATCTTACCAATAAAAAAAGTTGGAAAACACATAAAATAGAAGATCAAGTATCATTTTATATTGGTGTGCATCAAGATATGATATTGTTATATGGGTGTATATTATATCATGCATTCAAGTGAGTAATGAATCGAGCATTGCATGTGTGTCTCAAGCTCTCAATTTCCATAGAAAAATATTTATTCAATACAAATATAGAAATTGGTCAACCGACTAAATGATTAAAGGCCTCTTATCTACGCTAAGCTTTTTTTTTCTATATAAAGCATGTCCTTTGCTTTGCCCTTTTAGACTCCTCTACTAAAGTCATTTCTACCACTGCTTAATTAAGATAACATATACCTGGCCCGTACATGTACTAATTACTTGTATTTTTCTACCTTTTCTTCCTTTAAATAATTGAATTGAAGGTAAGGTTCATAGTATATTATTATAATATTAATTGTATGCTTTTATTACAATAGGGTTCTAGGAGATTAAATTGAATGATAATGGAGTAATGAATTGTGCGAATGGACAGAGTTTGTGAGAGAATTAAAAATTACTTCGTATAAAATAGAGATTATAGGTTTGTTTTTTCAAAAGTAAAGAATGTGAGAGGTGTAAGTCCGGTGACACTGACAATTGTGGTGATGATGACTTGTGAATCTAGTACTGGTGAGGGTGGTAAGACAACGATTGTGAAGGATGGATGGGGTATGTTGTTTATCAAAGGTCAATGTTTGGGGCAAATTGAATGGAATACGTCAGTTGATACATATATGATATTACTACCAAAACAAAAATGGTTGATTAGTACGAGTATGTAATTATTTCAAATAAATTTTGACATGTATTTGGTTGTTTCACACAAATTTTCTATGAATTTTCATTGTTAAAAGTAACAATGCAACCAAAAGTTTTAGATCATGGTTAAAAATCTTCACATGATAGGCCGTTGGATTTGAATTCTAGATAAGTTGAATAAAATTTGAGCCCATGAACTTCTTGATACGTTGGCTCTAAAACCATTTCAGAGGCACCAAAACATCCAAAAGCTAAAATTAATTTCATACTCCCTCTATCCCAATTTAGTATGCCATTTTCTTTTATCATTTGTCTCAATTTGTTTCTCTTTGGCAAGTTCTCCCAATATTCTTAATACTTCTTTATTCCTAGCACTAAAATAAAATGGAAAAATTGGCCGCAACAACACCAATTATGATAAAGGTGCGTGTAGCATCACAACCTTTTAAGGGTGCGGTCCACAGCACAAACTATGTAATTGGGTGCACATATTAGCATAAATGACACTAATGAACTAAGGTTCCACGAAAAAAAGTGGAATCTTCATTATTTTATAATTGTTTAAACATTTTTTAAACTTACATGATTTCCATCATGTGTGACTAGATTAGCCTTTCCTTCTTTTTTTTTTTTTTTTTTTTTTTTTTTTTTTTTTTTTTTTTTTGCATTTTAGCATTTCTTAACCTCCACCATTTAAGCGGATTCCTTCAAAAAAATTGTGCTATTATTTTCCTTCGTTCGCTTCTTCAATTACTTTTTTCTAATATCGATCTCACGTGATTGACTTAGTTTCTTTTTCCTCTCCACTTAGTCATATACTAAATTGATAAATAAATAAATAAAAATCATTTGAAAATACCAGAGTTCAGGATACATAAGTAACTATCTAATACCAAGCCCCACAAA